CCAAGACTACACTATAAAAAATATTAACAAAGACAAACAATATTGAATCTCAATTTGACAACAGACGTCAAGAACAAAAGTTTGACAATAAATAGTATGCATGCGTGTGTGCGTCAAATACATGGTATGTAGTGTGTGTAATGTTTTCGTTAATTGATTTAATGTATCTTTTATGCATTGTTTAAAAAAATATTAACATTGTGCACTTCTTCTCTATATTCTCTATAAGTGTGGAAAAATTCATACTGCTCCGTCCGCGCAATTTTCTTAAAAAGGGATACAAAGTTTTTGCTTCACGTATTAATATATAGATATAATATATATATTATATATTCTTAGAGTATACAGTACGCGCGTAAAACAAACGCTTGCTTAAAATAAGGAACCAAACCAGTCTCTTTGAGTACGTTTTAATGTAATTAATTATATAAAACGAAATGAGCTTTATGTTAAAATTACTTAGTGTCTACACGTGCGCGGCTGGATGGTTTCCGTTACCTGAAAATTATAAGCCAACATTTTCACTTGGACAAATTTCAACTATATATGGACCGTTTATTTTGAAAGTGGCGTAAGTCCACTTTTGAGAAAAATGAGTTATCACGTAATTTATGCTAAATTTAATGTAAATTTTGGAACGAAGTTCCTTATCGCGCGTTGTGAAAGGGGTTCGTGTTGAAAATTTTGCAATTAATTTTCATTTTGTCTGGTACGTACCTAATCGTACGTTATTCAATGTGTTCTTAAACTTAAGATAATGTCTTGTATTTATTTATTGTATAGATAGATCGGTGATTAAGTCTACGACCTACGTAATCTCACTAAGTGGTTACTGGAGTTAACGTGAATGTCTTCTACAATGAGAAATAGCGGTTAGTCTCAGTTGCATAGTTTCAGGTTATATGGGGAAACTTGGCTTCGATGGTCGCGGAATATTGGTAAAAACAAATGACGGGATCCTCTCAAAGGGTCTCATCAGGGTTTTTATTTTATTTTTTTATTGCTTAGATTGGTGAACGAGCTCACAGCCCACCTGGTGTTAAGTGGTTACTGGAGCCCATAGACATCTACAACGTAAATGCGCCACCCACCTTGAGATATAAGTTCTAAGGTCTCATGTATAGTTACAACGGCTGCCCCGCCCTTCAAACCGAAACGCATTACTGCTTCACGGCAGAAATAGGCAGGGTGGTGGTACCTGCCCATGCGGACTCGCAAGAGGTCCTACCACCAGTATATATATGGAATATTTACACGCTTATTTCACATTGATTTAAGATTAATGTACTTACGCGAAGAACCGCCACTTCTTAGATAAGGATTTCCATATGCAGCAGAGTACCTCACGTCAAGGCCTGACAGGACGACTCCGGGATTCGTGAACGGTATCACTGTTTCAATAAAAATAAAACTTTTAAGTGTGAGACACATGTGAACTAAGAAAGATAATATAATAGATTTTCCTTCACAACTAATAAAAAGGACTGATTGACCAGAAAAGCCTGTAAAACATTATTTATTTTTATGAATTCGATAATCGCCTTAATAGGATGAATTTATACCGGAATTGTTGTACACTAATTTGCTCAGCTTTTTGCCGTATAAGATTTTTTTTTTATTGGACTTGTAGGCAGACGAGTACACGGCCCACCTGATGGTGAGTGGTTACCGTCACCCATGGACTTCAGCAATGCCAGGGCAGAGCCGAGCCGCTGCCTACCGTAATTGTAAATTCTTCCTCAAGTTTCCGGCCACATGATCGAGTTTCTAGTTTCATGAATCGGAAAGCCGTTATACAATTGAAACGCCGACCTCATGTCTCAAGCTGAGCTATAAAGTGGCTCATAAGCCCGTCTGCCCATCCCGCCCAATCAAAAACATGAAACCGTTAAAAAAAGATGTGTGGTGGGTGTGTGTCGTGGGACACCGGATAGGAACGAAGTTCCTTATTATAAAAATATTAATTTTAAGTTCTATTCGAGGTATAAAGAAAATAAAACTGGAGGTTTCGCAACAACCCACGGTCATTCGGTAACGTGCGAACTTATTGTGGTACACTTCATTCACGGTTGTTTGCATAAGAGTTAGTGTATTGCGCAAACGAACGNATGTGTGGTGGGTGTGTGTCGTGGGACACCGGATAGGAACGAAGTTCCTTATTATAAAAATATTAATTTTAAGTTCTATTCGAGGTATAAAGAAAATAAAACTGGAGGTTTCGCAACAACCCACGGTCATTCGGTAACGTGCGAACTTATTGTGGTACACTTCATTCACGGTTGTTTGCATAAGAGTTAGTGTATTGCGCAAACGAACGCTCAGAGATGGTGGTCTATAAATGATAAAAAAATATGTTATTTTTTGTGCGTTATTACAAAATTAAGTCGTACACTGTGTGCATTACTAATTTGAACGTTATTACAAAGTTAAGTCGTACACTGTGTGCATTACTAATAAAAGTCTTACGTTACGGACGTTTTTTCCCTGTCAGGGTACCCCTCCGCATCGTCCCATAAGGAACTACGTTCCAATATTTTGTGTAAAACTTCTATATCCAAGTTTAATTGGTGACGGCATAAATAAAGGCAAAATGAACCAAAAAGTTCCTTTGAAACTGAAGAAACATCGTAAAGGGGAGTTCATTCGAAGGTTTATCGCGCGAGAGAAATGGCTGTTAGAAGGCCAATGTACTGGAATTAAACGACTCCAGGTAAAATTGACGAACTTACACGTCATCATTCACTAAGCTTTGACTAGAAGATTGCCCAAAGCGGGAATGAGTTGCTCTCTCCGGGCATTTCTATATTGCAATAATTGTTACGTTGTAAAAATGAATATTTCAAAAATATTCTAATATAAAAATAAAAAAAAGAAATGCCCGCTGACTTTCTTGCCAGTTCTTCTCAGGACTGAGGCTAATTTTTGTGAAATAGCGGTAGTTCTTTTTGACGTTCAACAAATGTGTACTTTCATTTATGTTGAATATTTTTTTTTTTATTTGATTTGATTTGATTTGACCTAATCATTTACGAATTATTATGTTATAAAATTTCAGAAGAGATAGGGATAGACGGAAGTATTTTCTTCTAATGATATATGTTGTTAATTCACACCTAAAAACATGCATGATGAATTTTCGATAGATTTATGATTTTTTTCTTTGTAGGCAAACTATAATACGGCGCACGATGATATGAAATAACCACTGGCCATGGACATCAACAATGCTAGGAGCACAGACAAGCCGCTGCCTACCCAAAACTGCGAGTATTTTTGGAAACGGTTCTAAGGTAAACATTTTATTATTCACTTGCAACTTGCACTTGCAAGCTACCATTGTATTTTGAGATTGTATTAAATTTTCGAAGATCTTTAAAAAAAAGTATTAATTTGGTTCTTCTGTAGTACATACCATCAGGTCCGACGAGACCACCCAGTCTCCCACAGCTAGCTTGCCGCCTTAAGGACCCATAATGACCAGGGTACGAAGACCCGTCAGTGCTTCTAGTCAGTGAACTGGACAGCGATTCCGATGGCACTGGCGGGGCGTAGTCCCTTGAGTAATCCACGTAGGGAACGTAGCCGTTGCTTTGAGGGTGCGACTGAGAGAAGAGATTGAGTGAATTTATTAAGTGCTTACTTTAGCAATCTCGGTCAAGGATAGCACAGCATCAGGGGGTTGTAGATACATCTTCCACAGCAATAAGCATATGGATAGTCGGCTTTTCTTAACTAACTCTTCTTTTTTGGCAGGGGGCTGAACCTCCGACAAGGATTCCGCGCCTGGGAAGCAAGTGGAGTATATGGGAATTTATGGTCTACATTATATCTTTAGGGTATCTTTTAGGATATCTTTAGATCCCCAGGATATCTTTAAGGCCCTATTGCACCAAACGTCTTCCCATGCACTCTCTCACCCGACGTCCGATCACCACTTGGGATTAGAATCCGGTCAATTCATAACTAACTCTTCACTAAAATCGTTTGGAACCCCTGGGTCTGCGGAGGGACTTCGGTTCCCTCTGTATTTTGTACCGTATGTTGCATGGGGAGTGCTCTGAGGAATTGTTCGAGATGATACCGGCATCTCGTTTTTACCATCTCACCGCCCGCCACCGGAGTAGAGTTCATCCATACTACCTGGAGCCACTGCGGTCATCCACAGTGCGTTTCCAGAGATCTTTTTTGCCACGTACTATCCGGCTATGGAACGAGCTCCCCTCCACGGTGTTTCCCGAGCGCTATGACATGTCCTTCTTCAAACGAGGCTTGTGGAGAGTATTAAGCGGTAGGCAGCGGCTTGGCTCTGCCCCTGGCATTGCTGAAGTCCATGGGCGACGGTAACTACTCACCATCAGGTGGGCCGTATGTCCTCCTGCCTACAAAGGCAATAAAAAAAAAAATTTAATTCTCGTAACCTAATCAGAACCATACAAAGATCCCACGTATAAATTCTCACACCGATCACATTACATTACCGCTAATCGTAATATCCACAACAATGCAGTTGTATCCCTTTAAAATTAATTCCAAAATTATACCAGACTTTCGTAGAAAACCTTTGTTCAATAACGATTTACTCGGTATATTCCTTGGCTTTTTATTGCGAAAGCTGACTCCGCGTATAAGGTTTGTTTGTTACAAAAGAAACTTTGGAAAATATTTACTGTGATACTTGGAAATAGTTATCCGTGCTATAAGTCTAACAAATAAATAATCGATATGATAACGTTTTGCGCTTAGGTGGGTGATTCCGGAAAACTTTCCTGTAGTGTCAAACTATTTTGACAATTTCGTACTTATCCAGCTGTTATGACGATGGGCACTTATCTGTGACTCATTGTAAGATTATTTTTATTGAATAATAAATGCGCCCGCGGCTTCGCTCGCAATAAAATGCTATTTTATATTCAACCATACAAGCCTTAAGACGATTCAAAAAGTTAACTAGGTAAGGAAATGAACGAATTAGGTGAACATACATATACATAGATAGATTCTTTTAAATACATATTTTAAGTATATGTACATAGTTTAATGATATAAAAAAAGTATAAAAAGTAAACCAAGGTAACAATTGATTTTTTTTATGCTACTGATACTGGTCTTAGAGCGAAATTATATAATGATTGTATTGTGATCTGTTCTACATGCGTGTACAAATTTTAAAACTAATCGGATATTTTTAATTCGGTGTACATTACGTTCAAAGATTCCGCTGGTAAAATAATTTGAAAATATTGGATATTTTTAGGATGTATAAAGAAAAACATAGTTCAGTTTGTTAATTAAGTTACAATCGTTTAACTTCGAGTTTGGGCACGTTTGGGCCTACAGCATGTCCAATAAATGTAGCGTCATGACTTAGGCGTAGTTTGGAAGTACCACAAAGGGAAAAGGGAAGATCTTCTTAAACCACGCGGGAGCCATTTGCCCTTGTAGGCAGACGAGCATACGGCCCACCTGATGGTGAGTGGTTACCGTCGCCCATGGACTTCAGCAATGCCAGGGGCAGAGCCAAGCCGCTGCCTGCCGCTTAATACTCTCCACAAGCCTCTTTTGAAGAAGAACATGTCATAGCGCTCGGGAAACACCGTGGAGGGGAGAGCTCATTCCAAAGCCGGATGGTACGTGGCAAAAAAAAAAACCGAAGTCCCTCCGAAGACCCAAGGGTTCCAAACGGACTCTTCTCAGTCGGACACTCTTGTAGTTCATTGCAGTTCGATTAGATGAATACGAGATAACTTTCTCACTCTGACCCAGTAACAGAGTTGTTAATACCATGGCATGGGCATGACATTGGAAATTTTACCTTAAAATGCAAACTGTTCACTTGCTGATTGAAGTCTCCGCTGTATCTCTGGTACTTCATGAGCTCGTTGTCAAAGCCGGTCTCCGGTAGGGGAACCGGCCCAGCTAGTGGCAATCCAAGGTTCGTTGTTATATGTAATGTAGGATGTAGATCTGCTTCGGTGTTTGAGTGGTCCTAGAAAACGTGGGCCAATATTAGGAAGACGTGTGGAAACTTATGCTTAGCTGTGTCGAGCGATTAGAATTAACTAAGAACATTACAGATGAGATGAGTAATGTAATTTATAATCACGTTGAAGATTCTATTAGCGTTATTGATAAAAAAAGGGAGTGATTGCCAAAAAAAATGTAATCTTTCGAATGAAAATTTGTTTCAACCAGATTCGCTTATATTTAAATAAATAGGCAAAAACAAAATAGTTAGATCAGATTAAATCAGATCAGATTAGATTAGAGTACCATAATTTCTTTCGTTAAATGATTTTTTTTTAAATGCTTACAACCATTGACAAACTTTAATGTTATCGTTTTGAATAAAATTGGTAATAAGTGGTCATAAATTGTTGGCGATCATAAAAACTAGACTTTAATTATTTAAATCAATTATACCAACTAATTAATAAATTATCAATTAATTAACTAACAATTAATAAGAATTAATAACCATTTAATTATCATAATTTAATTACCATAAAATTATTTAAAAAGAAATGGATAGGCTTTCACCAAACTCCATCTATAAACCAACCCGGTACAAATAGATTTCCAGAAAGAAATTACATTATGAGACTTTAATTTACAAACTTTGAAACCTCACAAATGTAGGCCTTAATAATATAATAACCTTAGAATTCTGACATGATCAAATTATACTTGATTCTATTGGATTATTTGCTTATTTACATATATTATTATGTGATCCGTACTACGATGAGTTTCTTTCTAAATATTTGTTCAATAAAATTTACATTTCATCCCGAAAATCAAAAGCAGTACCTATTTTACTTGCCAAATTCGAATTCGTGTATTTTTTGGCTAAAATTAGATACCCCTAATGCTATGGTAATCTTCATAAAATCCATATAAAACACATATTAAATCTTACCATATCACAACTCCCTTCGATTTGTCTCAATTCCAATTTTAGATCACTTATGTTCGAATGTCGATCGCTCTCTTTATAGCTTCCACAATTCTTCCCTATATCGGTTATATGTGGTTTTTTTACATCAGCCTTTTTAGTTTTATTATGGAATAACATTATTACAAACATTATAATGAGGATAAATATTATAGCCGACGAACCTCCTATTAACGATATCAGCATGGGGAATGTTTCTGAAAAGATGGAATTTGTGTAAAAAAATATATACCACGAAAAAGGGTTGGGTTTTTAATAATAGATGAATCAAGATTTCAAGGAAATCATTATTTTAAAAGGCTTCGAGTATAGGGCAGCTTTTATTCTGTTTTAATTATCGCTTATTTTAAAACCTCACACGCATCACGGGAATTCTATTGCGTATAATCTTTAATCAGTCCATTATCGTTAATGAAAATGATAATAGAATCTCTTATTTGGAGTTTCTTATACCAATCAAAGATAGCTAAATAGCTATGTCATAAACATTACACTGTCAACTGTATCATTATGTATACGACCAATCAAAATGAGCCTCTATTATTCGCGGTAAACATTAGACTGTTTGCACATATTTAATACCTACATGAAACATAAACCGCCATAGTTGTGGAATCGAGATGAGTTTTCTGATTTACGAATGTGCCAGATACTTACTTTCAGCTATTAAATGAATTTCGGCGCTATCCGTCCCATAGGAGTTTATAACCGTACAATTGTAGGGGCCAAAATGCTCCGATTCGCTCTTGCGGATAATCAAAGTGGACTTCGTCATCTTGTCCGCTAAAGACTCTTCTAGAAAAGCGTATTCCTGTTAAAGTATAATGATATTCAATATTTGTATTAATAGGACACTCATCACCTTTCTCGATCTTTCCTATAATCGGTACAATATTTCCTAGAAATTTGTTTAGTAACTGGAAGTGCTAAAACTGCCCTGTTGGATCAGCCGAATTTATATTGACTAAAGAAAACTAAGTTTCATTGCGGAATTAAGTTTTCGATTTGGTTTGTCAAGGTGGCATTCTTTTTTTTTTAATGCCCTTGTAGGCAGACGTGCATACGGCAAACCTGATGGTTTTTTTTATCTGGTCACACGGGCACAACCATATTACAGACTGAGATTGTTGGCTGTAATTTAGTAACGTGGAACCGCCACTCTACTTATTTCTGCCGTGAAGCAGAATGTGTTTCGGTTTGAGAAGGTGGGGCAGCCGATATAATGTAAAAACGAAGACTTAGAACTCATGTCTCAAAGTGGTTTACTGGTGGTAGTTTGCTCTTTGACAGGTTATTCAATATCTGGCTTAGCTCCCCTGATCTCTCTGAACTTCACTGGTGGGAGGACCTCTTGTGAGTCCGCACGGGTAGCTACCACCACCACCACCCTGCCTATTTCTGCCGTGAAGCAGTAACGCGTTTCGGTTTGAAGGGTGGGGCAGCCGTTTTAACTATACCTGAGACCTTAGAACTTATCTCTCAAGGTGGGTGGCGTATTTGCGTTGTAGATGTCTATGGGCTCCAGTAACCACTTAACACCAGGTGGGCTGTGAGCTCGCCCACGCACCTAAGCAATAAAATAAAAGTAGATGGTGGCATTTACCCTGTTAATATCTACGGGCTCCGGTAAAAACTTAAAACAAGGTGGGCCGTAAGTTTTGTCCAGCCATCTAAGCAATAAAAATAATTGAATCTTGAGAAAATATCTTTCACATCACTAAATTTGTTACATGTGGAAAAGTTCACTTGGCGACGACGCTTATAATTGACACACACAGATTGTCAAGTCTTGTCACAGTTGCACGTATAACCTTAATAATTATATTATCACGAGTATTTTCGATCTTATTCAACGGGCGAACTTACGACCCATTTTGGGCTTGTTACCGGAGACATCACTTGCTAATCTATAATATCGGCACTCTATCTTTTGGGTGCCATAAAAATTATTTAAGACGGGGCAAAAAATGTATTAAGAATTGTAATAAATGGAATGTAATAACTTTCTAGAGAACATTTAGTCTTCTGCCAAATTGTACTATAATAAATCTGCAATTTGTCTTTTATTACTTACTAGCTGACCCGGCAGACTTCGTAGTGCCTCAATCGATAAATAAAAGACCTAAGCTTTTGTATAAAATAAACTTAAAACAAACAAAAGGAATCCGTCCGACGGGGGACGCATAAAAGGAAAAAAAAAATTGTTATTTTCATTTAATTCCGAGCATTTTCATATTTATTTACCTTTTAAACCTTCTCTAGACTTCCACAAACAATTCAAGACCCAAATTAGGCAAATCGGTCCAGCCGTTCTCGAGTTTTAGCGAGACTAACGAACAGTAATTCATTTTTATATATATAGATAGAAAATAGGTAGACTAGCGACCCGCCCTCACTTCGCTTCGAAAACTGTAATTTATTATTGATTTCTCCACTGTTTAATCGATGTTATTATACATATAAACATTCCTCTTCAATCACTCTATCTATTAAAAAAAACCGCATCAAAATCCGTTGCATAGTTTTAAAGATTTAAGCATACATAGGGATATAGGGACAGAAAAAGCGACTCTGTTTTATACTATGTAGTGACTTATAACCTTAGAATAGTTACTTGGAGCTGTGAATTTTTCATTGGTGTAAGCTTTAAAGCCATGTGAAATACCGTTTAAAAGAATAGCTACACACCGTCCATTATCGAAAGCCGCTTGAGAATTATCTGCTCTATTAGGCACTTTTTAAAATATATGTATCTCGTACAGCAACTAAGCCAACAACAAACCAAGCTGACTAAGTTTTACTGGAACTCCCTTCCGAGATAAGCGCAAAATACACATTTGTATTCGACTTTAATAAAGATTCTGCATTTTCATTTCATTTCTTTCGAATGTAGAAACAGTTTATGGAACTCTTCTTATACGAAAGTTTTGAAAAATAAAAACTGTTCTTTGTGTTGTACAATGTTTAGTAAAATTCATGAGCATTGCCGCATCTTTGAACGATTTTTGATACGGTTTATATCAACAACCGTCTACCTATATTTTTTTGTTATTATACCTTACTTTTTTTATTGCCCTTGTAGGCAGACGAGTATACGATCTACCTGATGGTGAGTGGTTACCCTCGCCCATGGACTCCAGCAATGCCAGGAGTAGAGCCAAGACGCTGCCTACCGTTAAATTTACTAATACCTTGACTAACGGCATGATCTGGAGTGATGTTAAAAAGCAAGCGCAAGACCGGGTCAAATGGAGACAGCTTATAATGGCCCTATTTACCACCGGGGTACCCTAAGACTACAACACAAACAACGACAACATCTTACTTTTTTAGAGTTTATTAAACTTAATTTCGTAAAGGTCATAGTGAAGATATGTTGGTCGAAAAAAAAATTACACATTTGGTTTTTATTTCAAAAAAAATTTATCATAATAGTGTTTTGTCAAAATAAAAAAGTGAAAAATGCATTTATAATCTTAGGTACCTTAGCCCATAAAATGTCGCATTCAATTGCATAATATTTAAATAAAAAAATATAATAAAATTAAAATTACAATTTATCAGTATAATGTAAAATAAAAATAATAATAAAATCAAATTACATCAAATGACTACTAATATAAAATTAAAATTAAATAAAAGAACTAACACAATAAATAATGTATTAAATAGCTAACTGAATATATAAACAACCTCTCAACCTCAGAATACCTAATTCAATTAGATAAAGAAAAAGCTATGAACACTAACTTGGTTATGGAAACTGGTTATCTCGTGGCCTCCAAAAGTCCACATCACGAAATCAGGTCTTGGTACTGAAAACGAGATGCATTCGATTCGGACTGTGTCTCCTTCGATCCCGTACTGAGTTAGATTTGACATAATCTTCGGTGGACCTATTAAAGATATAATATTGGTTAGATTAGATATTATGAAATAGATGTTAAAAGAAAATGAAGTTATGGTGGCCTAAAGGATAAGACGTCCGTTGCATTCGTATCTAGCGATGCAACGGTGTTCGAATCCCGCAGGCGGTTACCAATTTTTCTAATGAAATACGTACTTAACTAATGTTCACGAGTGACTTCCACGGTGAAGGAATAAAATCGTGTAATAAAAATCAAACCCGTAAAAATTATAATTTGCGTAATTACTGGTGGTAGGACCACTTGTGAGTCTGCACGGGTAGCTACCACCACTCCCCCTATTTCTGTCGTGAAGCAGTAATTCTTTTCGGTTTGAAGAGCCCTCCAGCCGTTGTAACTAGCATGAGACCTCAAAACTTATATCTCAAGGTGGATGCCGCATTTTACGTTGTAGATATCTATGGGCTCCAGTAACAACATAACACCAATAAATAAAATAATATATATAAACAATAAAAAATAATATATCTCCAACAACAACTATTTTATGTTGAAATTTTATCTTTAACCTTTTATTAATACATACAAAACAAGTAATATAAAAGTTTTAATGCAACAGTGCAATGTAACAGTAACTCGCCGTGTGGTGACGGAGTAAGAATACAATGTGTCAGGACTCCTATACTATCTCAGGGAGTCGTAAAAACGGACTAAGGGAATATGCATAAGACATCAGTGTAAGAGAAGGAAAACTCGAAATTAAATCCTGTACCAACCCGTCTAGCCAGCGTGGTACAGTAGGCTAAATACCTCCATACTTGGAGAGGCTTATGTTCAGCAGTGGACAGTGGACAGGCTATGATGATGATGAATTTAACAGTATTCTTTCCCAAAAAAATTCCCAATTGCAATTTGAATATTGAAACAGCATTGTTATTAAAGATAAAACATTTTATTTGTTTCAAATGTCCAAAAAAAAAAAGAAAATAATTCTGATTGATTTTCTCAAATACTACGAGACTTAATCTTTCAAACCAATAATGACTGCCTCTGGATGTTTGTTAAAGACAAACATGTGACTGATGAGTTTCAGTTCAGTCACCCCTTTTTTTTTCAACTTTGACAAGGCCGTTCCCGTTAATATTCAAATTGGAATTTTTAAACATTCTCACACAGTGTTATCAAGTACTCAAAGTTGTCATATGAAAATTTGAAACATAATTTGGATTCAATATTTCTGTTAACGCACAGTATGAAATTCTATAAATTATCTAGATCGGTAAATTCCCTATTTCACTCTACTTGGATGGACCATAAACTTTGAGCTTCTGTAACTTCGCCAAAGTTTGTAACTAAATCGTCCGTTCCTTGACGTGTTTTAGCTGAATGACCTTACAAACAGCCTGTAACTTGGGGACTTGGCGAGTTGGTTGTTGGATCCTATTGCCTTGGGGATTTCCCGAGAAACCTTACGACTATACCCGTTTTATGTTCCTTATGTCCAACATAATTTCACGTAGCATCTTAAATTTCTAACCCTTTACAGCTCAGATGCTTAAGCACTAAAAAAACGAAACCTAAATAGCTTATAAGTACGTATCCAACCTTGCCATCCAAAATTGCCTTATTTTTGAGGAACAAATAAAGAACTGGTGGTATGACCTCTTGTGAGTAGTCTTCACGGGTAGGTACCACCACCCTGTCTATTTCTGCCCTGAAGCAATAATAGGTTTGGGCTTGAAAGTTGGGGCAGCCATCGTAACTACACTTGAGACCTTAGAACTCATATCTCAAAGTGGGTGGCGTATTTACGTTGTAGATGTCTATGTGCTCTAGTAACCACTTAACCAGGTGAGCTGTGAGCTCGTCCACCCATCTAAGCAATAAAAAATGTATATACAATTTTAGTAGTCCCACAAGTTAATTCCGCTATATTAATCGGTGAGCCTTGTTCAAGAGTTGACTTACCTTTAATATAAACGACGGCTGGTGCTTCCACTTCTGGTCGACCTTCGACCACACCCCTGCACCAATAATGTCCGGCTGTCTGATGGGTTACCGTCACATTCAGGGTTTGTGTCTTACCCACTCTCTGTCCAAAAATGCATTTATTACATCTTTATAAATGTACTAATGGAAATTCGACTATAATTAATTTAAGTTATAAGTTTGAACATTATTATGGTTTTATTGTCAAATACTATTTATTATAAACTTCTATTTACATTATACTTCTATAATCAGAGATTTCGCCAAGACTATACAGTATACACTATAGACAAATAATATTATCCTAATCTCAATTTGACCATAGGCTTTAAACATTTTTTTTCACAGGAGAAAATCGCCGGAACCCCCCCCCCCGCGCGGCTGGTGGGGTACGTGGGAGTTGAACCCCACTAAAAACTCCTGCCGCTCACAACCGGCGCCCTACCCCGGACCGGGCCGGAGTCCAGTCGGGGCTATTGAGACGGCGGAACAGGGTTGACACAGAGCACATTACATCCATCCCGCCGAGACTTTAAACAATAACAAAAGCTTGACAATAAACAAAGAGTATATAGAGTAGGTATATACTTAATAATATTCGAACAACGCCTTAGTCATCCACGATAAGTCGTGTCCGACATCGTATGCCCTTTTATCGCAATACACAAAATAAATGAATATATTGCAACGTAATTTATTCGGCGTCAAATTATAATTATATAATTTTCCAGAGTATTTCGGCCAGTGAACACTTCAATCAACTGGCCACAGATCATTAAGCTTTCCCTACATCAACATCCTATATAAAATAAAAGTAAACCAACAGATATTCAGAATATTCAAAACACTAAAGATAATATTATAAAAAAGTATAATTTTATTTAATTGAAGGTAAAGTTTTAAAATGAAAATGCAATCGACCTGATGCTTGAAAGTGACGATGTCAATGGTCGCAGGTAACCAGACAACTCTCGATTGGCTGTGAGATAGTCTATTGCGGTTCAATTAGAAGAATAAGAGGTAACTTTGATTCACTCTGACCTAGTAACAGAGTTTTTATATCATGGCGACAACGCAAATAGTGATAAGATCTGAAAAAAGTCTGGCCATTAGGGATTTTTTAAGTCAACTAAAAGGTATAATGATCGAATCGTGAACTCTTCCAACTGTCGGGAAGTTTTACTCGAACTTTTGAAATCAAATTATCATCGGTTCGCTTCTTATGTTCACGTACTGAGAAGACATTTTAAGTTGAGTGAACTTTGAAAGCCTTTTCCTCTGTATTTTCGGGAACGCTTGTACTTACTACGAAATAGATCGCGCGCTATCTACCGTGTCTACTGAGTTCTCAAATATTCCAGCAACGTTTTTTATATCACTAAAGAATTCTCACTAAAGAAATAACCTTAAGATTGAAAACCTTTTTTGTTATTTTTTTTTATTGCCCGAGCAATCAGACGAGCATACAGCCTACCTGATGGTAAGTGATTACTGTCGCTCATAGACGTCAGCAATTCCAGGGGCAAAGCCAAGCCGCTGCCTATCAATTATATTGTATCAATAGGATCTGTTATTAATTTAGTTAATTGTGATAACTTTAGTAATATTTTTGTGTTATATAAGGAATAAGACTCAGGCAGAAGTCCAATGTATTGGTTGGATCAGGTACACTCTACTTTTAACACATCTGTCCACGATGCCAACCGTGCTACTGAGGGTAGGCAGAGCTGGCGCAGAATAATTTAGGAGAAAATTGTAAAGAGAGACACTCAGCATTGAGGATTATCGACGCAAGGATATGGTTATAATAATATATTGAGGCCGTAATCAATGGTTAATGACTATTGCTTCTTAGGCGAATTTCTTTTTGGCAGAAAATTATCTTTATAAATATATTTAATTTTGTGTACGCGATCAACCATTGTAAAACCTTGTTTAAAGTCCCTACATCGACTGTCCAGAGCTTCAGTGCCAACAAGACCAACGCTTAGACGTATATAACAAAATATCTAAGGCATACAGTTAAATTCATGTCTATATGCGTATCAGAAGATAGTCAATCTTGCTATCTAGCGAATTTCTACATCATTAATTGACAATTGTCAATGTAATTGTCAATGGTCTACAATGTTAAAGTCGGTTCAAATTTTAACTGTATTTTTATTCGCATTATTTCGAATGTAAGTCTCGTAAGTCTGGCCGTAAAGTGAGACCTTTTCGTGCTACCAATAGAATTGTAACGTTGGCCCATTGCCCGGGAATGTATTATTCGAACACATAAGCCGCAAAATGGCGGTGAAATTTATTTGGCTTTTTCGTATTCTGTTATAAAATTTATTAAAGAAAATTGTAGTGTTTTCGTGGTCTTAATACAGTATCTCGGTTCGCTAAAGTACAAATTATACTTTGATTGAGTAGAATGATGGTAGGACATCTTGTGAGTCTGGTCGGGTACGGGCACGGGCCGAAAAATCGGTACCCGCCTGCGGAGTTCGTCGTCACAGTTGTATCACTATGGAGTATACCAGGCGTCTTGTCCTTTGGGCCACGACTTCATAGCATAATCGGCTAAATTTATCATATTATTATGGTAAGAACAAACCTTGGACCTGTTTAAAATTTTGCCTGATCAACCTTTAGGGGACACGGGTAACCAATTCTAGCTCTAGCTGTTAGTAGTGTCCGCTGTATTCCTCCGGCTAAATTTGTCGTATGGTAAGAATAAACCTGGGACCTGTTTAAAAGTCTGCCTGATTAAATTTCAGGAGACACGGGTAACCAATTCTAGCTCTAGCTGTTAGTAGTGTCTGCTGTATTCCTCCGGCTAAATTTGTCGTATGGTAAGAATAAACCTGGGACCTGTTTAAAAGTCTGCCTGATTAAACTTCAGAGGACACGGGTAACCAATTCTAGCTCTAGCTGTTAGTAGTGTCCGCTGTATTCCTCCAGCTAAATTTGTCGTATGGTAAGAATAAACCTGGGACCTTTTTAAAAGTCTGCCTGATCAACCTTCAGGGGATATGAATAACCAATTCTAGCTCTAACTATTAATAGTATCCGTTGTATCCCCCGTCCATCCCAAATTTCTTAATTATCCTATGAATTTACTTGTGATCTATACTAATATTATAAAGAGGAAAGATTTGTTTGTTTGTTTGTTTCGAATAGGCTCCGAAACTACTGGACCGATTTGAAAAATTCTTTTTCCATTAGAAGCCGACATTGTCCCTGATGAACATAGGCTACTTTTTTATTTATTTTTTATTTTATTTTTTTGGTTTCATGTGTGTTTTAATGTTTCCGAAGCGAAGCGAGGGCGGGTCGCTATAAGTAATAAAGGACGTGGAGTATAGACGTATAACTAACTAACTATCTTTAATCATATACCGATTTGCAGAGTAAGATATTGGGTTGTGGCATTTGGGACATGGTCTATAGAATCGGCCTATGTCCAGCGGTGAATTACTGTGTTCTGACGTTGAAATCAGATGAAGTCGTCGTGGCCTAACGGATAAGACGTCCGGTGCATTCGTGTTGAAGCGATGCACCGGTGTTCAAATCCCGCAGGCGGGTACCAATTTTTCTAATGAAATACGTACTCAACAAATGTTCACGATTGATTTCCACGGTGAAGGAATAACATCGTGTAATAAAAATGAAACCCGCAAAATTATAATGTGCGTAATTACTGGTGGTAGGACCTCTTGTGAGTCCGCACGGGTAGGTACCATCACCCTGCCTATTTCTGCCGTGAAGCAGTAATGCGTTTCGGTTTGAAGGGTGGGGCAGCCGTTGTAACTATAATTGAGACCTTAGAACTTATATCTCAAGGTGGGTGGCGCATTTACGTTGTAGATGTCTATGGGCTCCAGTAACCACTTAACACCAGGTGGGCTGTGAGCTTGTCAACTCATCTAAGCAATAAAAAAAATAAAAAAAAAACTGTCGACTCGTAAGCTTATGAGAAAAGATTCGATGGTACTCACAATGAACCGGTCGCGGTCATATCTGAGCCACATGATCTTTGGTGTTGGGTGACCCTCTACGGCGCAATCCAATGTTACTGTGGACCCGGAGTCTGCTTCCACGCTCTGCGGCTTCATTTTGAAGGTCGGTCCATCTACGAGAAATATTACCGTTATCCACAAACAAACCTAAATCTTAAAGTATCAGATATTAAGGATGAATTTCGATCATCGTTTAGCACTTACAGTTATTATAAGCACTTGTATGCTGAGCTTCTAACAAACAGAAAACTTAAGCCGGCTACCGACTAGCAAATAACACATTTAAATACAAATTTCCAAATGAGCAGAAAACAAATTCTAACGCATTTAACTTCTACCGGTAAAATAAACGTGGCCTTTATTACGAAACAATATAGGCCTTATTAAAATACAGAGAAAGGTACGCGTAAACACGTCCGTATCGCCTTTGTTATAGAGTTTAAAATTCATTACGACGAATTTAAAATTTTCCTTGCGTATCTTTCGGAACGTATTTTATTTGCATTTCCAATTTTAATTACAAACTGTCGGTCGTGGTCGTACAGTATTGTAGACAATAAGACAATATTGTACCATTTTGCTTGGATGCTAAACTTAAGATTTTCCAACCATATCAAGCTAAGAATGGTAATGATAGCCCATGAACTTATGAACTACGACTACTTAAAATACTTTTTTTTATTGTTTAGATGGTTGAACGAGCTCACAGCCCACCTGGTGTTAAGTAGTTACTGGAGCCCATGGACATCTACAACGTAAATGCGCCACCCACTTTGAGATATAAGTTGTAAAGTCCCAGTATAGTTACAACGGCTGCTCCACCCTTCAAACCGAAACGCATTACTGTTTCACGGCAGAAATAGGCAGGGTGGTGGTACCCACCCGTGCAGACTCACAAGACGCCCTACCACCAGTAAGATACCTTCTTCTTCTTCTTACTGATATCACTTTTGACAGAGTAGTCGCTATGTGGCATTGGAGGAGTTGGATTTGAAATAGATATTGTCGATTCGATGACGATCTCCCCTCATATCTCCCCGATTGAAGCTATTCTATTGTACATATTTCGCGTTACATATTGTACATAACTCGCACTGTAGTCTAGACCTCTATACTTATTTGCATAACGAAGCTTTCTATCAAGTGGTCGTCTGTTGTGAAAACCATATTAAATTTAGACTGTACTAGAAAAAATAGACTCTGCTTGTTGGAAAATTTTGGAGAAAACGAAATGGTCTTGCGAAACTCAGTCCACGAAACCCCAAGCATTCTTCTCCAGCACCACAACTCCAGAGCCTCTATCATCTTCATTTCCATTTTTCGCATACTCTACGCCTTAGTGCCAAAAATATGGAGGAGATTGGTGTTCTAATAAGCCTGGTCTTCGTGGTCCTAGTAATTTTTCCATTTTCCCATGCTTTCTTCAGCTTGTGCATCATTGACCTCGTAACAGGCAAGCGTGTTTTAATTTCGTCAAAATATCCGTCACTGTTTGAGAACAAAGTTTTTTGAGCCAAATTATGTGTAGGATTGAATAACGTCGCAGCTGCTATTTGAGATTCTTCCAATCTACAATCATCACCATTATCTTACTACAATTAATTATTAATTACCATTCAAAGCCTACTCGTCCCATCTTTACTAGCAGATCTTCCAGAACCGTTATGATCCGCATGTTGTAAGTTTGCAATCCCATACCTAATCCTGAACCTTTCACCCAATCCTCAAATCTTCCCGCCTTCAGAAAATTATAAAATTACGCTTATTGTCGTGTTTAAGCTTCAGGTGATGCTATTTCTATTCACTAAATATATAAAACTCAGCAAATATCCTAATTGTATTCGCCATTAAAATCAAAGATACAAGAAAGAATCCTAGTGTAACGTGGGTGTTATAACAAGTTGAAGTGCAGTCTTAAACTAACAAGCAATTTTAAATCTGAAAATTCTCAGAGCAATAAAATACTTTTGAGATAATATTGAAGAGTTCTTTCAATATGCGAAGCTCGACTTTATGCAACTATATTTTGCTTACGGTATTGCGTGTTGATTTTCAAAAATTTTACTTAGATGTCGCTTTGGATTTAAATTTTGGAATTATGCACTATTTGAAGTCGTTGTGGCCTAAAGGATAAGACGTCCGGTGCATTTGTGTTGAAGCGATGCAACGGTGTTCGAATCCCGCAGGCGGGGTACAATTTTTTCTAATGAAATACGTACTCAACAAATGTTCACGATTGACTTCCACGGTGAAGGTTCCATCGTGTAATAAAAACCAAACCCGCAAAATTATAATTTGCGTAATCACTGGTGGTAGGACCTCTTGGGAGTCCGCACGGGTAGGTACGACCACCTCGCCCGCCTATTTCCGCCGCGAAGCAGTAATGCGTTTCAGTTCGAAGGGTGAGGTAGCCGTTGTAACTATACTGAGACCTTAGAACTTATATCTCGATGTGGGTGGCGCATTTACGTTGTAGATGTCTATGGGCTCCAGTAACCACTTAACACCAGGTGGGCTGTGAGCTCGTCCATCCATCTAAGCAATAAATAAAATAAATAAACTAACCGTGAGGCCCATACAATGCATATACATCATATATAAAAAAATAAAAAGCCTTTTATCGTTTTATTCAAATACAATATAATAATATTATTACGCCGGTGAGAGTAACGCCATCTGTCGTCGAATAGCAGAAAAGGATATCAACAGAACTAGTAATATCGAGAACGCTCTAAAAGTGTAACGCCATCTATTATCAGAAAACAAAAACGAATCTTGAAACGACTTGTCCTGTCGGAAATGTTCTCGATAATTGGAGACTTGTCGTGTCAACTATAAAAGCGTTGCAGAGATGACATGAAGGCAGTTAATAAATCATTCTACTCGAAGCGAAACAGCGAACCGATCACCAGAAGCAAATCGGAAGAAGTGGATTGCGAATTGTAAAGTGTTCCTTAAGTATAACTATATAATAGTTTATTACACACATTTATACATTTTTTTGTTTATATTTTGCTTCATTATTTAATTTTAAGGATGTGTCTAAAGATTATGGTTATTTTGACAGATCTCACTGAATTTTGTTCATAATAATAATAATAATAATAAATTAGTTTGCACACCGCTAACATACATACCGTATCTTTTTCAGAATTTTCTTTATGTCAAAACCGTTGACTGATTTTCAATATTTAATACGTTTTTGGGTACAATAAAGTAAACTTTCTCTATCTCTCTATCTCCCTCTTAATTGTTACATATAATGGCTGTCTTATCATCCATGATCTGCTACGCTATAAAAATACGTAGCACAGTGCGATCATTCATAATTTTTTGTGTTTTCTTGTAGTTGCCATTGGTTTTGCCCAAATTTTATTATTGAGAAACCGTACATATCTCCACCAAATTGTTGCCTATTCCTGACGCGTACCTAACTACGAGCTCTGGTTGGATTTAATCGTTAATTCATAAAACAAAAGGCAAAATACCTAAGATCGCTTAATTATTCTCAAACAGCGCTAAACGTTGCCATTGTTCTAAAACAAGAATCAAAAGTATCCATTTTACAACTTAAGTTCTTAAATGACGAATTAGGTTCTCAGAGTTCATTACGGATTATTGCGAGCTTTTGTTTTTTGAGAAAATGAAAAGTTCATTGTACGTTAAATTTTTTCCCGAGTCTTAAATTGTATTCCGGAATATAAAATTGATATATTTTTTCAATTCAGTTTCAAAATGATCGCCTGGCAACGTTTATTTATCAATCGCTTGTTTTAAAATTCAAATTGCTCACTTCGCCATTATTATTTTATTTTTTTTCGGATAGATAGCCAAACCTCCTACGAGGTCCCCGCGAAGGGGCACGCGGGGTATGTGAGACTCAACGGTCTGCTTGGTGTTGTGAGCAGACCGCGGGCCCAAGGATTTTAGGGCCCACCCACTAAACGACTCCCCAGCACTCTTACACCCGACGTCCGATCCCCTCCGAGGTCAGAACCCGGATGAGGTAGGGGGGTTACCGCGGTCAACACTACAACCAGACGGCGCGGATCACGCCAAGAACGCCCAGCCGACGGAGCCTTCGAGGCGAGTCGAAGGCTCTGAAATGTCGGCTCACTTCGCCCTGCCTTCAACCATATTTGGAGTAAAGAGCTCTCAGGGTTTTTCTTTGCTTGGATGGGTGGACGAGCTCACAGCCCATCTGGTGTTAAGTGGTTACTGGAGCCCATTGACATCTACGAGGTAAATACGCCACCCACCTTGAGATATAAGTTCCAATGTCTCAAGTATGCCAGTACAACGGCTGCCCCACACTTCAAGCCGAAGCACATTACTGCTTCACGGCAGCAATAGGCAGGATGGTGGTAACTACCCGCGCGGACTCACAAGAGTTCCTACCACCAGTAATTACGCAAATTAAAATTTGCGGGTTTGATTTTTATTACACTATGTTATTCCTTCACCGTAGAAGTCAATCGTGAACATTTGCTGAGTACGTATTTCATTAGAAAAAATGGTACCCGCATGGGATTTGAATACCGGTGCATCACTCAACACGAATGCACCGGACGCCTTATCCTTTGGTCCACGACAACTTATTTAAAATTCAAATTGCTTAATTCACCTTGCCTTCAACCTTATTGGAGTAAAGAACTCTCAGGGTTCGTTATAGCTGATATCTTCATCTCCTGCTTATCGGCACCTTCATCAGATTAAAGTTCACCTTTACTACTATTAATTAATGTTACTATTGATTATCGTGTTGGCATTAAAACCCTTTATGTATACCTACCTGTACATATTAGATAAAAACCTTCGCTTTTGTATAGTACTCCCTATAACTCCTCTGCTTCCGTTATTGATACAAAGGCTCTCGTAGCATGCCCCAATACAAATTTAGAGCTCAAGTATTTCAGAAAGTTCCAGAAAATATAACGTTTAAAAAGTACTTACAGATTACTTCTAAGGTTTTCGTATCGGCGCTATTGCCAACCTTATTGTGCACTTCGCATTTGACAGACGCTTCGTTAAGCTTACGAGAAACGTTTGTTATAATCTGCAACAAAAACAATCAATTCAATCAAACCAGGTAAATAGATGTGGCCAGTATTCAAAAATTCACTTTAAATCTATACATATAAATAAAATTGGAGTGTCTGTTTGTAATATTTTAAATAACCGTTTTTACTATATGCATATTAATATATGTACGGTACATACACCAAAATAACATTTTTTTTTTAATTTTTATCTGTCTGTCTGTCTGTCTGTTTGTTCCGTCTAATCTCTGGAACGGCTGGAGCAATTTTGACGGGACTTTTACCGATTGGTAGCTGATGATATAAGGAGTAACTTAGGCTACTTTTTTTATACTAGTTTTGCCCCACGGCTTCACCCGCGGTACGACAATAACCGCGGGTAACATCACGGCACTCAGCCATCAATAATAAAATTTAATGTATCCGAAGCGAAGCGAGGGCGGGTCGCTAATAATTAATATATTATATCGAATTGAAAGGAAATGTGGTCTTTTCACTCTCTATCAGCTAATGGAATTCCTCTACCAATTGAAAATGGAATGATTGTACCACTATTTTTTAGTATTCTTATTTTTTGACGTAGTACCTGCAAACTCCAGAATATTAGATTAAAAATAAGCAAAAGTCTTTTCTTCCTACATGGTAACCTAAGGGGCTATTTCAATTACGGCCGGACGGGTAGCTCACGGACTCAATTTGAGAGAATTACAGGTTACAGAAATACTGGTGGTAGGACCTCTTGTGAATCCGCGCGGGTAGGTACCACCACCCTGCCTATTTCTACCGTGTAGCAAAAATGCGTTTCGGTTTGAAGGGTGGGGCAGCCGTTGTAACTATACTGAGACCTTAGAACTCGTATCTCAAGGTGGGTGGCGCATTTACGTTGTAGATGTCTATGGGCTCCAGTTACCACTTAACACTAGGTGGGCTGTGAGCTTATCCACCCATCTAAGCAATAAAAAAACACTAGCCTTAGCAAAAAGAGCGCTTCCCTTAATCTACTGGATCGAAATCGGGATCCACTGAAAATATCCGGCGAGTAACTCAGTGGATTGCAATGTTATTGTTACAGGTACCCCCTTATAACAATGTAGATACGTTCGTACAAATTCTCGTGTAGTGCCAAGCCGTCTGATATAAGACTGGAAGCCTGGCTAGCCAAGGTATTTCGTCAAGTATTTGCAATCCACGGATATAATTCAAACAATATCTACGGTTTAATCTCGCATTTATTTTTAATATTCTTTATGTAATCTTTAATGTTACGAATACTCCACAGTTTTCGCGTTTAGGAATGACTAAGATTCTAGTTCGACATTTGTATATCATCTACCGCTCAGTGATATATAAAATAATACTAGCGACCCGCCCTCGCTTCGCTTCGGAAACATTAAAAGACACATGAAAAAAAAAAAAAAAAAAAAAAAAAAGTAGCCTATGTTCATCAGGGACAATGTCGGCTTCTAATGGAAAAAGAATTTTTCAAATCGGTCCAGTAGTTTCGGAGCCTATTCGAAACAAACAAACAAACAAATCTTTTCTCTTTATAATATTATTTATATTTATAATATTATTATAATATTATAATATATATGTCGGCGCAAATATGACTATTTACCTACTGATCATCAACTAATTACTCTGTGATAAGAAATTGATGTTAAACAGTCCCTTTTATTGTAATTTCAATACTTTAAAATCTTGTAAACACGCTCACGTGTTTAATACTTGTAAACACGCTGACGTGTACGAAGTCCTATAAATACGGCCGTGCTGTCTAGCGTTTATTCATTCGTGTCCGAGCCGTAGTACAGTACGGATCTCTCTGTAACGTTGTTATGCTTCTCGTGCAATATACGCAGTTCTCGTGAAGTTTTGTTTTGGAACCCAAATATGAGTCATCATCGAGAACTTAAAGACCGTGACGTCAACAATGCTGACGTCACACTTTTTAAAAACATTCCTTCAGCGTTTCTCCTCCGTCATATATATATATTTATAAGTATAAGTATAAGTATAGATTTATTAGACTATACGTGTTTCCTTGGCCATAGAAATTGCGAAAATCATTTGGAGATCTGGCAGCAAGTTGAAGTTTCAAATTCACATGGCATCGCAGGAGCTTTTATACTCACGAAAACAACTTCTAAATAAATAAAACTAATAAATATTGAAAACGTCGGAATAGGTACGAGTATTGAATAAAAATGGACTTTCTATGGATTCCTATAAAGAAATCTGGTTTGTTTTTAGTCTGAAAATTACTTGCTTAAAGACGCTTTATCAGAATAGAGCCCCGTATTTAACAATATTAATCAAATTCCAATTTGATGAGGTCAATCTTGTTGCCTATTTCTGCCGTGAAGCAGTAATGCGTTTCGGTTTGAAGGGTGGGGCAGCCGTTGTAACTATATTTGAGACCTTACAACTTATTTCTCAAGGTGGGTGGCGCATTTACGTTGTAGATGTCTATGGGCTCCAGTAACCACTTAACACCAGGTGGGCTGCGAGCTCGTCAACCTATCTAAGCAATAAAAAAAAAAGTTATAATCCTTCATCCTGCAAGTCACTCATAAACATGAGTGAGAGATAATACGTAATGTATATATTTAAAACTACAAACTATACTGAGTTAAGGTCTCTCCCACACGCGATTTTCTCATTTTCTAGACTACATGCAAAGTGCAGTGTGTTCCCTGAGATATTTGTCCCTAGTTGCTTTAATGTAATATGCATATTGTACGTGATCCAAGTCGGAGCGAAAATATTTGAGAATATCGCTACTGAATAGAATATTTCAGGAATGTTGTTCTCGATTCAAAATATCTTTTAATGTTTTTGTTGATCTTTTACAAGCTGACGGCTATGTACGTGTTAATGTCTAAAGTGGCGCTTAAATAAATAGACGGAGGTAAAATTATACTGTACTAGAGGTCCAGCAGTAATCGAAATTCGACTATAATTAATTGGAATTGTAAGTTTGTACACTATTATGATTGTATTTTATACTTCTATAATCACAAATTTCGCCAAGACTACCATTATAAAAAATATTAACAAAGACAAATAATATTTAATCTATTCTCAATTTGACCACAGACGTCAAGAACAAAAGTTTGACAATAAATAGTATGCATGCGTGTGTGCATCAAATACATGGTATGTAGTGTGTGTAATGATTTCGTTTTTTTTTTGTTCTTCGCCATGGTGTAATATCAACTTACACAAAAATATTTTGGGGTAATAATTAAAAAAGTTCCCTGACCGCTGATTTAAACCAACCTTGGCGAGAATAGGAAGGGCGGTTGGCCCGGGCTGGTTAGCTTAAGCTACAAGTTAAATAGCTACGCAATTTTAGAAATTGTTAAGAAGCCCATATGTATTAACCTCGTGAAACTGTATGCTACTTTAGAAATCGTTCACGAACTAAAAGTATATCTTGCATGATTAATTTAATTTATAGCTGTTATTGGAATTCTTAGTAAGACTAACAGAATGGCCTCCTCTCAAGAGCATACCTTCCCTAATACACTTCGTCAATGTGTTTATTATTTAAAATAATATAAAAATGAATTGCTGTTCGTTTGACTCGTTAAAACTCGAGAACGGCTGGACCGATTTGGCTAATTTTGGTCTTAAATTATTTGTGGAAGTCCAGAGAAGGTTTAAAAGGTAGATAAATATGAAAATGCTCGGAATTAAATAAAAACAAATTTGTTTTTCCTTTGATGTGTCCCCCGTCGGACGGTTTCCTTTTGTTTGTTTTAAGTTTATTACAAAAGTTTAGGTATTTTATTTATCGATTGAAGCACTACGAAGTCTGCCGGGTCAGCTAGTTTAAAATAAATAACAAAAGTTGTTTAGTATAAATGCTAGTATTTAAGGGGATTTTACCACAAATTTCAAGTAAGTTACAAGCACCAAGTCACAGTAATGGCGCTTGAAACAGCGCCGAAATATTGGGAATTCATAAAATAATAATGTGAAAATCGTCGTAAAAAGTCATTAAATAATAGAATTTATTATATAATATTCTTTTTCTTCTTCTTCTTATAACAACGCAACAGATTATTATGTACTAATCATAAGTAAATATTTAATTGTATACGTGTAAATTCATTGAATACTTACCAATTCATTTTTCACTTCTCCAATTGCTTCATCATTGTTTATGTACCATTTGTAAGATACATTACTAGGGTTGGCATTCGATTGGCACCCTATGAGAAAATAAATATGTTTTGCATTAATATAATTTGTATTATTACTTAATTTTAAATACCTTAATTTGCGCAACCTTTTATCACTTAACGCCTTATCTTTGCGCATAATATGCTAAATTGTTATTACCTGTATAATTAAAAAAAACAGCTAACGGGTTCTACCTACGATTTTTAATTTTAATGGGCTTCCAATATTTCGGCAAACGCCATAGTCACGTCTAAACTGAAGAATGGGGGTGCGATATTAGCAGAAAATAGATCGTCTCGCCGGAACTATCATCCGCACCATCCGGATGGTTGGCGTTCCACTACAATGCGTTTTAAAAACAGTTTTCTGCCACAGTAAATCTCTGGAATTCGTTGCCATCAGCGGTCTTCCCCAACAACTGCGACATTGGGTTATTCAAGAAAAGAGCATATTCTTACCTGAAGGGTAGGCAACGCACTGGCGTAAATGCTGGTGACCGTGGGCGGCGGTGAATCACTTACCATCAGGTGACCCGTCTTGCTCGTTTGCCTCTTTGTTGTTATAAAAAAAAAAAAAAACTGCCTACCCATCTTTTTGGTATGTTTTCATGTATTACCACTGGAAATCGACTCGCCCTGACAACTGGACTAACACTATCGAAAATTCTTTCAGGATACTTTGAAAACTCACTATTTACTTATTTATAAAATCGAGAACTCGTAGTGAAAACATGTTAAATAATAGTGCTTATATTGTAAATAACTGCCAAAGTTCAAAATGATTCATATAAAAACTTCATAGAGAAAGAATATTTAAATTCATTGTACCTATTATTAATGTTTCCCCTTCTTGTATTCTCCCTTTTATTGACCCGGATTTCATGAAGAGACGGACCTTAGGCGCGTATTGGACCTGTAAAAAGTCATACTACTTTAAAACCTTTAAAACCGAAGACATTGTAACTACACTGAGACCTTAGAACTTATGTCTAGAGGTGGTTGGGATATTTAGGTTGTAGATATCCATGTGCTCCAGTAACCACTTAACACCAGGTGGGCTGTGAGCTCATCCACCCATCTAAGCAATAAAACAAAATAAAAAAATATCCTTACTAACACCCGACTCTGGAATTAACTCTTCTCCAGAATATTTTGTGATGCTTTGACATATCTCCTTAAATAGAGTTTCAAAACAGTCCCTAGTGGTTCTGATTACGTGATTGAAAGCCAGCGATACATATTGGTTTAGATAAATGATCATTTTTTATGCCGTTGTTGGCAGATACGGGCCACCTGAAGTGAGTCATTATCTTCACTCATGGACGTCAATAAATCTAAGAGTACAGCCAAATCGCTGCCTACCACTGAGTAATCTCCACAAACCTTGAAGAAGGACATAGCCTTCAGGAAACACCATGGCGAGAAGAGTTAATTCCAGAGCCGGATGGCAAGTGGCCAAATAGATTTCAACAAATGCACTGTGCCTGATCGCAGGTATAGCTTGGATGGATTGTGCTCTGGTGACGGTAGATGCGATGTTAAAAATCGATTAAAGGATCATCTCAGAATTATTCCTCAGAACACTCTCCTTTGAAGTTACTATTACAGAACACAGAGAAAACAAAAGTCCCTCCGCAGACCCAGATATTCCCAATCATCCCTGCGAATGGAATGACCAACAATGGCATAAATGTGCATCAAAAAAGTATTTGTATCAAACGAACATGGAACCTGCACACGCGACACTTCCTAGGTGTCAACGACGTAACTTACCACACAAAAGGCCCGATTTAACAACTGGAAACGACATTTTCGCAGCAACCAAAAACATTATCGTTACAAAAGAGCAAAAACAAACAGTTCGCCGTCTCCGGGGGGAACTTCCGAGCCTTCCGTCTATTGTTGTGTGTTAAAACTCCGTATCGAGGAAGGGGAAAATAAGAACTCTTATTTCGCACAGTCTACAATTGAGAACGCTTGTCTTTTGCTGAGTCGCGTCTAGCTTCCCGACCTCTATGTTGTAACTAGATTGAAAATTGCAATTTGCAATGATGATTTTGTTGCCTACTACATTGAAACGTAATGTTGGGTTCTAGCAGAAATAGGTACCATTACAAATACAGACAAAGACCTTTTGATAATTTAGAGTTTAGACAAAAACACTTTTCTATTACTATACTATTGAATGTATTATATTATTTCTTAATTCAAAATTTTTGATGCGGGTAGGTAGTCATCGCCTATAAAAGATAATGGGAAGAGACACTCGCCTCCCTAATTCTACCTCTGACCGAGCCCTTGGGTTTGCCAATCCGTCCTAGCCTAGTGGCAAGGGGTCTGAAAAAGCCTTGATCCATCCGTCCCAAAAAAACTCGCCTTTTTATACTTCATAACTCAGTCGATTGCAGAAAGTTTGTCGGTTTGACACTGTGTTTTGCGAGACAGTGTTAAATTCTATTTAATTTGCTTCGTTTGTTTGGTGCATCTATTATAAGTTCATATAAAATTGGAATTCGAAAGTGAGATCTTTATAAGTACATCCTCCCCCATGTGATTGATATTTTTTTGATTAATATTCTACCTGTGATCTGAAAATAGTGTTCATAAATTAATCTATTATATCGGTAGAAAATGTAGCAAAAGACGAAAAATTCCTTTACATTTAAACACGCATTGAAATGAACGCGTTTCACTGAATTTAATTTCTCGTATTTCTTTAATAAAACAGAAAGGAAACTCATTGTGGCTACAAAAAGTAAAAACAAACAAGGAAATACCGTCTCCTGAGGAAACTTCGATACTAGTTGTCTATTGTAATGGTTTTTTGCTTTTGAGAGAAAACGAGTCAGCTAATTTATCTTTGGCTTATTAAGAGCTATTCTTTGTTCGCTATTTTTATACAAGTTTCAATTTAATTGATGACGTAATCCTAGCAGGATAAGGATAGGTAAGGATTATCTATTCTAAATTCCAATTTAACACAACCGTTACTATAATAGAATTACGACTTTTACTCCTTATCTATCTATCTTCTATCTATATATATAAAAATGAATTGCTGTTCGTTAGTCTCGCTAAAACTCGAGAAGGGCTGGACCGATTTGGCTAATTTTGGTCTTGGATTATTTCTAGAAGTCCAGAGAAGGTTTAAAAGGTGAATAAATATGAAAATGCTAAGAATTACATAAAAACGAATAATGTTGTCTTTCCTTTGATGTATCCCCCGTAGGAAGGATTCCTTTTGTTTATTTTATACAAAAGTTTAAATCTTTTACTTATCGATTGAGGCACTACGAAGTCTGCCGGGTCAGCTAGTTTTAAGATATAATTGTTAACAATTAAACCTCTCCCTTTTCTTGCCCTTATTTGCAGGTCGACGCAGCATGTATTTTTATCATGCATAAAGATTTGACATAAGTTTTGCGATCTGTCGCCTGTCTGACGTCATCCCTCCTTGGACTATACCTCTAGTAGCATAGTATGCAATTCAACGAGCTATAGGGAGGTACTTTTACTGTTTTTACTTTTGGTGTTTCTTTTATTTAATTGGTCAGTTCGTTTTGAGTTTTAAGATTCGCATTTTATTATTATAAATATTAACAATAAAATTTAGGTTTTCAATTACATATAAAATTATTTTTTATCACAATTTGTTAGTTTTTTTCTGTATCTGCATAATAGAAACCATAGTCAAAGGTAAGAATTAAACACCTACTTTAATTTCCTTTGATAACGTGCTGGTCAAGGCGTTTTTGAACCGGGCCAAGCAATGAAACAAACTGTTTAATATTGAGTTCCTACCTAAATTTCCTTACCTGTATTTCAAACGATTGCACTCCAAATTTAATTTTAAAAACCAGTAGGAACCAAACAACGAATACCTACATCTGCTCAAGCAGCTCAATTATCATTAAACGTATTAATAAAAAAGCGATCAATATGGTCTCCTTCTTGTTATCTAATAACTAAAAACTCGTAGCGCACCTAAAATACTATCCCAAAGACTTCAACTATAGCTCGATGGGTGGACGAGCTCACAGCCCACCTGTTGTTAAGTAGTTACTGGGGCCCATGGACATCTACAACGTAAATGCGCCACCCACCTTGAGATATAAGTTCTTAGGTCTCAAATATAGTTACAACGGCTGCCCCACCCTTCAAACCGAAACGCATTACTACTTCACGGCAGAAATAGGCGGGGTGGTGGTACCTACCCGCGCGGACTCACAAGAGGTCCTACCACCAATAATCTGCTCAAGCAGCTCAATTATCATTAAACGTATTAATAAAAAAGCGATCAATATGGTCTCTTTCTTGTTATCTAAAAACTAAAAACTCGTAACGCACCTAAAATACTATCCCAAAGACTTCAGCTATAGCTCTCAAATGCGACTATAAACTCTAAAATGGGATTGGCCTACACTGCCCTACACCATTACGAAGCAGTAATTAATTTAATAAGGTCCTTTATGCTAAGCCTGGACTAAAAAGCCAGAGTTGAACCACTTTAACTCATTTCAAAAACCACACAACGAAACTTTCACGTTTGAAATCGGAGGACGCAATTTCCAAAGTAACTAAACAACACAGTCAAAGGACTAATATGGAAAATTGGCTCTCGCGATTCTGTGTACATGGATATAAAATTGTGTATAATATTAAAGGAATTTATCTCCAGGAAACAGGACAGGAATCCTTTTTTTTTATTGCCCCTGTAGGTAGACGAACATACGGCCCACCTGATGGTGGGTGGTTACCGTCGCCCATGGACTACAGCAATGCCAGGGGCAGAGCCAAGCCGCTGCCTACCAAAACATTGGCAGATTCCTGTCAGTTTTTTTACTGATTTAATAATTTTGTATGATCTACATATATTTAGTAAATAGTCAGCCCTGAGTTCCTGGTCCAATTCTTCTCAGTCGTTCTCCAACTGAAATAGGAATTGTTGGTTTATGAAGATTTAATAGGGCTATTTGAACAAAAATCTTTTTGGTTCCTTTTTAATTAATGTAGACATTAAGATGTTAAAGTTAAAATAGACAGTATGGTGGTGCTAAACTGTTTTGATTTCATCACCACCTACTCAGTAGTTAAGAGAGAAATTAGGAAGAATAAAATAGGTTAGATGGAAAGATGAGGTCAGAATATAAGAACATAATAAGTATAATAAATATAATACGAATATAATAATATATTCAGGCTGATGATGGAACTGAAATAACAGCCTATGACCCAATTAATCTAAAGAGTTTTAATTAATATTTTTCTAAAAAGCTTCCATGTTTGTGAAAAGGGTTTTTTTCCAATGAATTAATACAGGGCTATTAACAAGGGCTTCTGACGCCGTATCGCCGAAGCTTTAAGTCTAGACGAAGCCCTTCGGAGTTTGGTATTAAATAAAACTTAATGTAATGGAATGTGAATAAAAGCAACATAAAAATTTCATTGAAACCATTCTAGTTACTGATTGACTATATTTTATTTGTCAATTGCGAAGAATTGCTTTTTTAGTTTTTTTTTTATGAAGTATATAATTTATAGATAAAGCGTATTTTGATGTGATGAAATGGTATTGGATTTTTTTCATGATTCCTCAGCCAAATTTAGTTTTTCGGTACATCTTTTGATATGCTACATTATTTTCTTATTTTTATTATGTGAATGGACAGCTGAACTGTTAGGCCTCTTCCTTTTTCAATCAATGGCTCATGGCTCGTGATGCGCCCGCTTGTGCCATTTTTTGGGCCATGTGGTATTAAATATAAGTATTTTTTTCCCAAAACTTCAACAAACACACAGCGTTCCAAGTCAAACGTAAGATACGACAGGAACAGCAAAATAATTCGGGCTCCAGTCGCGCGTACAAGATTTGCTGACATACCCACTGCGCGCGTCTTTACGAAATTAGAGCTTACACAGTCCCTCTTATTTTCACTTTTTCAGTACGTTTCGGAGACCAGACAATCGAGGCCTCCGTTTCGATTGCGTGTGACACTGACAACAATGAATTCGGTTGCAGAATCGTCAGCTCCAAAAGGTCAAGTCCAATGGTGGGCATGTTAAGCCGAATCGGCGATATTTTTAAGAGCGAAATGTACAAAAATTGTGGAAAGGATCTTTTTCTCTGGCAAACGCCTGCTCCCCTATTTCTTTCTCCCGTTGTATACGTTTATTGGGAGTTTGGTTTAAGATGTAATTTATTTGTTTGAAAAGATCAGAATTTGACCAGCAATGTACTGGTTTTTCGGGTATTACTGTATTTCAAACGAAAAGAGATCGGCGTTTTATAGAAATGTGTCTAGAATAAGAAAATCTAAAAAATTTTACTCTCTGATTTCGTCATACATGATATTAAAGTAATATTTACGATTAATAAACAGATTAAAACATGAAATTGATTTTATTCATAAAACGTATTAGGTGTTTTGCAATAAATTATAATATTTAGTATTTATATTTAAATGAAGATATTAAATTTTGATGTAGCAACATCATTCTTATCTGACTGATTAAGGTATTTGACAGCAAATATAATAAAATTAAGATTAAACAAAGTAATTTTACAAGACAAATTTTCTAACTGATCAAAGATCATGATTTGTCATATTCACACAACTCCCATATACAGACAAGCATAGATTAAATTATGGTTATTTGAACGTACAAGATGATTACATGAGCATACCTGAACCTTATAGTGATATGATCTATGCTCTTATACTATGTAGGCAAATTTGACCAAATAGTACATTATCTGTTTGGAACTTCAAGGAAAAAGAATATCTTTCTTTACAAAAAATTAAAAATGCCAAAAAGAAGGTAATTTCCCAGAAACATAAATATAGTTATTTCGACGAATCTGACATGGAAATATAATCTCTATACTTAATGTTATAGATGTCAAAATTAATGTTTATTTGTTACACATTCACGCCTTAATTACTCAATAGGTCGCTATGAAATTTTGCTAGCACATTATCAGGAATACAGAGAAGGGCATAGAAGAACATAAGCACTAGCTAAGCCATGATATACAAATTTTCTCCAATCGGCGCTCTAACATCTGACAACATCGCTAATTGATTTTAATATTGAAAATTATTAGTCCTCGCCAACAAAAACCAAACGAAAACAATTTATCGGCCAATACCCCCAAAAGGAATAAAAACAAGCCAACAACAAATATTACAATCGTAATACGATTTTCGACATCCGTAAATTGGGTTACGAAGCCGGCTGGAAACTTGAACACCACAATAAGATTTCGCGCTATCTAGTCTCTCGGAATCGTTTAGTCCAATAAATTCCTAAAAGGCTTGACTTACGACGCCGTAATTTAACAGTCGATTAAACAAACCAACGTTATCCGAATAATATCCTTTGTATATTATCAAAAGTTCGTGTTACACCCAAACTCGGATTTATCTTTGGAAGGAGGCAAAAAAATGAGATAATTTGATGTAGCTATTAAACAAACGTTTAGGTTAAGATTTTATGGTGAAACTTGGCTTTTTCGGTCGTATAATTTCGGTATAAAATGCCTTGAGGGAAGTAAAAAAAAAAAAGAGGAAATAGCTTCTTGTTACGTAAGACGCCTTCGTAACTAGAGGGATGTTTTCCTGTATTACCATAAGATAACAAATAGGTACGAGAACGGATTCATGACCTCTTCAAGGCTTTTGTTTTATATCTCGAAGATTTATTTCTTTATTTCGCCTCCTCGCGTCTCGAGTACTGTTATCTTTGTATTGTTCACTCCGTGATGGTGTTCCCTGAGGTTCTTGTGAAAGTTATGATGAAAAATGTTTTTATATTTTTGTTGGCCTTCGGATTTTGTTTATTCGCGTCCATAAACAATCCAGGTATGATGATAAAAAGCTTCCTTTTTTTTTTAAATCTACAAAAAATATACCTTACCTCTTAATTTTGAAAAAAGACTGATGTGGCTTGGCTTTTCCACGAAAATTATGGACATTGTGAACAACGCCGAAGATGATTGCATTCATTCTAATAAGGACACTCCTTTGATTATTCAATCAAAAACAGTTAAGTAATGATACAGTAGTTCGCGTGCACAAAGAACGTATTTCAAACTTTGCAATTTGTAAATCGATTTGAAAATCAATAAAGTTACTTAGATAAATACAATATTGTTGCTATTACTGATTAAAAGAACGCTGACTAGACTGAAATTAGCATTGATAGGGATCCTTAAAATGATTACTAAATATTAGGACCTGCTCGGTGCGATTACCGCCGTATGTTAGATTAAATTCAACAACGATTGCTTCCAGTTGATAGCCAATTTGAATAATACCTAAAGAAGCTTTCGCACCAAACGGGCAGATATAAAAAGCGGTCATAGTATGTATAGTACATAGGTGCTTCACTCTAGAGCCGTTACCGAGAGGTTAAGGCTCCAGAATATCTTCATTATTTGGGTTATCTACACACAACTACTTGCGTTAATCAATTTTTATAAGGCTATTTTAAACCCCTTTTTTTAATTATTGTTTTTAAATCGTGTAATCAATTGTTTGTAAGATTCTAATACATTTCCAGTAAATAATAGCAAATATAAGTAACTACTAGATCTGATGGCAGAGTTTTTTTTATTGCTTAGATTGGTGGATGAGCTCACAGCCCACCTGGTGTTAAGTGGTTACTGGAGCCCCTAGACATCTAGATGTAAATGCGCCACCCACCTTGAGATATAAGTTCTAAGGTCTCAAGTATAGTTACAACGGCTGCCCCACCCTTCAAACCGAAACGCATTACTGCTTCACGGCAGAAATAGACAGGGTGGTGATATCTACCCACGCGGACTCACCAGAGGTCCTGCCACTAGTATAAGCTTACTGCTTACTGCGAACACGTACAGTCCTGTACCATCACTCGGTAATAATTCAGCATCATAGCGTGAATCAGTAAAACACATTGAGTTTCGGTATATAGTCACATAAATGAGATTAAAACTTGGATCTTATCTAAGGGGCGGCGGTCACATCTGTCTATTTAGATTAAGCAACAGGAACTTACTTGTAATTTTACGTTGACAGATCTATACGCCCTATCTGCAGTGTTCTGCGCTTGGCAAGTAAAAGTCTGATTGTGGTGTTGGCGTCTGGGACGTATTCTGAGGGTAGACCTGCAGGAGGAAAGGCACTATAGGCATTAGAAATAAACAACATTATTAGAGCTTGTATATGTCACAATCATTAAAGTTCCTTATCGTACAGGGCGGAATGGAAAGTATCAGGCTTCTGGATGAAGTTATGCGATGGACCTTTTTTGTCCTACCTATGCTGATAGCCTTGAGCGGCTATTTCAGCTTCACCCTAACATGTAGGTGAGCTCACAGGGCTCAAGCCGGAAGTGTTGCTAACATTGGCCCTAGCAAGAGCAGTGTTTCGCAGAATCTACCACCGGATCAGAAACGCAACCCACTGAGAAGATCCGACGAGAAACTCAGTGGGCTGTGTCTGTGGGTTAATGGATGGATCCATCGAAAGATATCTGTAGCGTAGCGAGGAGGGTCAAGGGAAGGTATCATGCCCCGGGCGCTACTGGCAAAGGGGCCAAATGGTTCGCAAAATAAAAATTTGCGGGATAAATTTTATTTTTATTATAATTGATTACTGGAAATTTTTTATAAATTTGGTGGCAGTGTAACAAAAGCCCTAAAAGATATTGTTTCTTGGATTGTTACGCCACTGCTGTGGTGGTTGGTCCCTAGGTAAACCATACGAAATACCATCGCGAAATTCGTCGAGCAATATCTCCTATGAACTCCATTAGGATTATAGCCGTCTTGCCAAGAGATTGTCGGCTAACAATAATACTTCTCAATCACATCATATTATGTTCTTGGTTAGTAAAACATTTAGCAAAAAAAATAAGTTAAATTTCATCAAAATCTTTTTCTTATAATACTCGAATTACGATTAAAATGATAAAGTCGATATTTCTATAAAACACTGCACACAATATTTCGCTTTCGTTACTGAACCTATAGTTTCGTTTTGTTCATAATTATTTAGTTGAATCCGACTGACCGAACTGGCAAAGTCCTTATGGAATTCATTGCGTACATTTCATAGTACGTGATTAGAGATAAAATGATAACAGTGTTCCATCAACCTGAGACCTTAGAACTCATGTCTCGGGATAGATGAGGGCAATTACGTTATAGATGTCTATAGGCTACGATAACCACTTAACACCAGGTGAGCCGTGAGCTCGTCCTCGCATCTAAACAATAAAAAAGATTGAAAAGAATTCTAATTAATGATCTGGTCTATCTTCGGGCGATTGATTGACAATTATAGCAATTGACTTGTATGAATAATTGCTCGTAATATTTTTGAGGAACAATTTTAGAATGCCACTATAATTATGAGTGAGTTTATTACTCACGGTATGATTTAAGAAAAAAGATATTGTAAAATGCGGAAGGCGAAAGGCAAGAGAGTGGAAAAGAATGTATTTGAAGTATGTGTAGGTATTTGAGAAAGAATGATGCATTTAACACGTTGACTGCGTTATGTGATTTAAAAGCCCCACACGCAACTACTCCCTGATGCCGCAAGCAAAACTTTTCGCTTGGTGCGTTAAGATGACAAGTCCACATTTCTATAAGTATGGGTGGGTACGTTCGAAATCATTTTTGAGGCCTATCAAGTCTCATACGGTAAGTCCAACCTTACCTGGGAAAGACCTCATACGTACTGTTTAAAAATCCCTTAAATAGTCTCGCAGTCAACGTGTTAAAATGACCTACACTCAACATTGGGTGGACACGTGTCGAACACATGTAAAATATCTTTTATATTCAAGATTGGGTGGACACGTGTCGAAAACTTGCAAAATGTCTTTTATACTCAACATTGGGTGGACACGTGTTGAAAACTTGTAAAATTTATTTGTAAAGCATCCTCACACGTACCTCGCAGTAAATCTTCTGCCATCACCCATCGGTTCCACGGTATAAGTGACACCTTGAGTCAAAACTCCACCGTCATTGTCGACCCACGTTATCTGAACAAAACAAAAGCGATAATAAATAATAGTTTAAAAAAACCAACAGAATACGCTTTTATAGAAAATCCAACTAAAAAATAGAAAATAAATTTGAATTAAAAATAATGTAAGAAAAAATGTTGTGCTTTTCAGGATATTATCAAAATAGCCCTTCTACTAATATCTGTTCATAAAATATTTATAACTACTGATACCATGCACCCCACGCTTTTTTTACAATAAAATCATTTTTTCTTACACTATTTTTAATTCAATTTTATTTTCTATTTTTTAGTTGGATTTTCTATAAAAGCGTATTTTGTAAAAAAAATTAAAATAGTATTTATTTTTTATTTGAATTTCAATTTTTTCAATTTTTTTTTAAATATGGAATTGTCATCGATCCTTATGAAATATACCAAATTTAGAGTTAATCCGACGTTTTGAAGGGGGTCAAAATCATGTTCAAAGATTCCGTTACAAACATACATACGTCTGAAGCTAATAAAAGTGTATTAAAAAAGATTTAGCGTTCTGACATATAGCTTAAAGGTAACGGAATCTTTGAATGTCATTGCCACTGATTTCAAGTCGTCTGATTAACTCCAAACACACGCATCAAGGACGAATAATTGTTTAAATTGTCTTTTTAGTTTTTAAAGTACTTATATTACTGAAAATAAATAAGGATAACAACAGAAAGATAGCATTGGAAAATAATCTTGACATTTAATTCAGCATGACATAGCATACACACAGACACACTCAAAGTAAATGCTTGTTGATAAGCTGATAACGTCGTCTGGTCATAGTTGACTATTAAAAAAACTATGAGTGAACATTGATAGAAGTTAGGAGGTCTTTTTTGGATAGCTGATCCTTAGCTAATGTCCATGGACCACTGAAGCACTCACGGGTCGACCCGACACGTACTTCGAAAGCAAAAGACAGGTTTATCTGATAATGTTGAAAAAGTCACAGAATGTTTTGAGACGTATAAACATTAATAATATGTTTTTCTTCCGCATTCACATTTTATCGTGCAGTCAAAAATAAACACGTGGGAAGTTTACATAATAATTTTAACTGGATTATTACCTACAAAAATATGATCAATTGAAAATTTTACATCAATTTAGAATGTATAGCTCTATTTTGCATGGTCTATCACGGTCTTCGGTAGTATAGTGGTCAGTATCCCCGCCTGTCACGCGGGAGACCGGGGTTCGATTCCCCGCCGGAGAGATCTTTTTTGTATCTTTTTGGCAAATTTATTTTGCGATAATTATATCACAATTATGATAATTTACATTATAATATAATTTACAAATTACAATTTTAATTTTGAAAAAATAATTTTTTATACAGTAGCAGGTGTTGCATCCGATTGTAATGACAGGTGGTATATACGTAGTGTTTTAGTCTCCATACCGTCAATGGCTTATGTATAATTTATGATAATTTAAATTTATTATCTATCGATAGACGCGTAGACAAATTCAACTGCGCAGTTAGGTGTCATAATTACAAGTAGTGTCTTTTTAATATGGTAAAAATCTATTTTATTAGCGTATCATGCAATTTTTGTTACTTCATGATATTATTCCTATCAGTTCCTAAAAACTTCCAAAGATTCTGTAAAAAAAACTGCTTTCCCGTTCTGTTTCAACACGTATAGAATTTTGCTTTTGCTAACTTACTGCTGCTGTGTCATAATGGTCATATTTAGTTCAAATTACCCTTAAACAGAGATTCTTATACCGATTTGCGCATCCAAGGAATTTTTAATCTTCCTAAGATTGCACAAAGTTTTTTTTGCTTAGATGAGTGGACGAGCTCACGGCCCACCTGGTGTTAAGTGGTTACCGGAGCCCATAGACATCTACAACCTAAATGCCGCCACCCACCTTAAGACATGAGTTCTAAGGTCTCAGTATAGTTCCAACGGCTACCCCGCCCTTCAAACCGAAACGCATTACTGCTTCACGGCAGAAATAGGCAAGGTGAGGGTATCTACCCGTGCGGACTCATAAGAGGTCCTACCACCAGTAGTGTTTTAAATGTACATGGAATTGTTACCTCCGCTGGAGGTTTTCCTCCTACTGAAACACACTCCAAATCCAGCTCTCTGTCTTCAATAGCTGGAATGACGGGCCCCCGGAGTATCTTTGGAGGATCTGGTGGTACCAGCACCGTCAGTCGGGCGTACCTTGACCGAATTGCTGGCTCACCTGTTGACAATTATTTACATTCATTTATTGGAAACGAGCTGACCTGGCAGACTTCGTAGTGCCTCAATCGATAAATAAAAGAACTAAGCTTTTGTATAAAATAAACTTAAAACAAACAAAAGGAATCCGTCCGACGGGGGACACATCAAAGGAAAAACCAAGTTGTTATTTCTATTTAATTCCGAGCATTTTCATATTTATCTACCTTTTAAACCTTCTCTGGACTTCCACAAATAATTCAAGCCCAAAATTAGCTAAATCGGTCCAGCCGTTCTCGAGTTTTAGCGAGACTAACGAACAGCAATCATTTTTATATATACTTATAAGTATATAGATAGATAATTAACTGTGATAAATTGTTTATGCTCAAATTATGATTATGATACCAATGCCAAATAATTAAGTTGAAGGTGTAAGCTCCACCTCCATATACTACAGAATATTATATGCAGTCTGTTCGCGACGGACATAAATAAATGCAGCTTAATAGTTATTGTTCGCGACGGACATAGATAGTGTTAAAAGTAGTTATAGTAAAAATGTCCGTAAATAGATAGTATGTGAAAAATAGCTGTGAAATAAATAGAGATAATGTAAATAGGAATAGTTAGGCATAGAAAATAAGATAATTTGCAATGTTATATTTTGTTTGTNATCTGAAGCAGAAATACCTTTCAGTTCCAACTGCTTATGTGTAATATCTAGAACAATTTTATTACAGTCTTCTCTTTCGACTTCTGGAATGCCCATAAAGATGATAGCTTTTCTTCTGTGTCTGGTCTCAATAATATCTACCATTTGGGAACATTCATTGATTTGTTGCCGGAGCAGATGAAGCATTGAGAAAACTAGCTCTCTGAATGCCCTAAATTCTTCAGAAATTTTTGAAATAGTTTCCTTTGCAGGGGCAGTATTGTTGAGTTGTGCTTCAAGGTCAGCCATTCTTCTTGAGAAACATTCTTCGAGAGTAGCTTGTGCTGCTTCTATTGTAGCCAGCTGTGACATGTTGCTTAATCCTTCAATTCCAACCCCAGAACTTATGAGTGTGCAGAAACTGGCAGGTAGCTAATTATTAAAACTTAGCTTCCATAAAAACTGTCACAAACATTTGTGTGGTCTTCTTATGTTTAGTTTTAAAGAATTGTTAACAAAAAATGTCAAAAATATTATTAAAATGAATAAAATTCACTTTTCGACTTGAGAACGCTTGTATACTTTTCCACACCTACCCCCTTGTTTGTTTGTATATGTCACAGTCATAAAAGTTCCTTATCGTACAGGGCGGAATGGAAAGTATCAGGCTTCTGGATGAAGTTATGCGATGGACCTTTTTTTTCCTACCTATGCTGATAGCTTTGAGCGGCTATTTCAGCTTCACCCTAGCATGTAGGTGAGCTCACAGGGCTCAAGCCGGAAGTGTTGCTAACATTGGCCCTAGCAAGAGCAGTGCTTCGCAGAATCTACCACCGGATCGAAAACGCAACCCACTGAGAAGATCCGGCGAGAAACTCAGTGGGCTGTGTCTGTGGGTTAATGGATGGATCAATCGAAAGATATCTGTAGCGTAGCGAGGACGGACAAGGGAGGGCATTATGCCCCGGGCGCTACAGGCAAAGGGGTCAAATGGTTCGCAAAACAAAAAAAAATCCGGATAAATTTTATTTTTATTGTTATTGATTACTGGAAAATATTTTAAATTTGGTGGCAGTGTAATATAACAAAAGCCCTAAAAAGGTATTGTTTCCTAGATCGTTACGCCACTGCTGTAGTGGTTGGTCCCTTAGATACGAATGATCGCGAAATTCGTCGAGCAATATCTCCTATGAACTCCATTAGGATTATAGCCGTCTTGCCAAGAGATTGTCGACTAACAATAATACTTTTCAATAAACATCATATTGTGTTCTTTGTTAGTAAAACATTTAGTTAAAAATAAGATTTCGTTAAATTTCATCAAATACTTTTTCTTATAATACTCGAATTACGATTAAAATGATAAAGTCGATATTTCTATAAAACACTGCACACAATATTTCGCTTTCGTTACTGAACCTATAGTTTCGTTTTGTTCATAATTATTTAGTTGAATCCGACTGACAGAACTGGCAAAGTCCTTATGGAATTCATTGCGTACATTCCATAGTACGTGATTAGAGATAAAATGATAACAGTGTTCCATCAACCTGAGACCTTAGAACTCATGTCTCGGGATAGATGAGGGCAATTACGTTATAGATGTCTATAGGCTACGATAACCACTTATCATCAGGTGAGCTGTTAGCTCGTCTTCGCATCTAAGCAATAAAAAAGATTGAAAAAAATTCTAATTAATGATCTGGTCATCTTTGGGTAGTTGATTGACTGTTAGCAATTGACTTTTATGAATAATTGCTCGTAATATTTTTGAGGAACAATTTTAGAATGCCAATATAACGCACGGTATGATTTAAGAAAAAAAAAATTAGCTTGTAAAATGCGGAAGACGAAAGGCAAGAGAGTGGAAAAGAATGTATTTGAAGTATGTGTATTTGAGAAAGAGTGATATATTTTACAAGAAGTCCACATTTCTATAAGTGTGGGTGGATACATTCGAAAACATTTTTGAGGCCTATCAAGTCTCATACGGTAAGTCCAAGTGGGAAAGACCTCATACGTACTGGCTAAAAATCCCTCAAATAGTCTCGCAGTCATCGTGTTAAGACGACTTACACTCAACATTGGGTGGACACGTGTCGAAAACATATAAAATGTCTTTTATACTTAAGATTGGGTGGACACGTGTCGAAAACATGTAAAATGTCTTTTATACTTAAGATTGGGTGGACACGTGTCGAAAACTTGTAAAATGTCTTTTATACTCAACATTGGGTGGACACGTGTTGAAAACTTGTAAAATTTTTGTGTAAAGCATCCTCACACGTACCTCGCCGTAAATCTTCTGCCATCACCCATTGGTTCCACAGTATAAGTGACACCTTGAGTCAAAACTCCACCGTCATTGTCGACCCACGTTATCTGAACAAAACAAAAGCGATAATAAATAATAGTTTAAAAAAAACAACAAAGTACGCTTTTATAGAAAATCCAACTAAAAAATAGAAAATAAATTTGAATTAAAAATATTGTAAGAAAAAATGTTGTGTTTTTCAGGATATTATCAAAATAACCCTTCTACTCATATCAGTTCATAAAATATTTATAACTACTGATACCATACACCCCACGCTTTTTTTACAATAAAATCATTTTTTCTTACACTGTTTTTAAATCAAATTTATTTTTCATTTTTTAGTTGAATTTCAATTTTTTCAATAATTTTTTTTAATATGAATTTGTCATCGATCTTTAATATGTATACCAAATTTAGAGTTAATCCGACGTTTTGAAGGGGGTCAAAATCATGTTCAAAGATTCCGTTACAAACATACATAGGTCTGAAGCTAATAAAAGTGTATTAAAAAAGATTTAGCGTTCTGACGAATAGCGTAAATGTAACGGAATCTTTGAATGTCATTGCCACTGATTTCAAGTCGTCTGATTAACTCCAAAATTTACACACGCATCAAGGACGAATAATGTTTTGAAATTGTCTTTTTAGTTTTTAAAGTACTTATATTATTGAAAATAAATAAGGATAACAACAGAAAGATGGAATTGGAAAATAATCTTGACATTTACATCCGCATGACATAGCATACACACAGACACACTCAAAGTAAATGCTTGTTGATAAGCTGATAACGTCGTCTGGTCATAGTTGACTATTAAAAAAACTTTAAATGAACATTGATAAAAGTTAGGAGGTCTTTTTTTGGATAGCTGATCCTTAGCTGATGTCCATGGGCCACTGAAGCACTCACGGGTCGACCCGACACGAATCAATTTTCAATTGATCAATTTAGAATGTATAACTTTATTTTGCGCAATCCAACAGGGTCTTCGGTAGTATAGTGGTCAGTATCCCCGCCTGTCACGCGGGAGACCGGGGTTCGATTCCCCGCCGGAGAGATTTTTTTTGTATCTTTTTGGCAAATTTTAATATCCGATAATATATCACAATGATGATAATTTATATATAATTTACAAATTACAATTTTTATTTAAAAAAAAAAAAACTGTTCTATACAATAGCAAGTGTTGCATCCGATTGTAATGAAAGGTGGTACGTAGTGTTGTAGTCTTCGTATCGCCAATGGCTTATATTATGTATGATTTACGTCACCTAATTAAAATTTATGAACTATCGATAGACGCGTAAACAAATTCAACTGCGCAGTTAGGTTTCTTAATTACAAGTAGTGTCTTTTTAATATGGTAAAAATCTATTTTATTGGCGTATACCATGCAATTTTTTTTTTCTTCATATTATTCCTATCCGTTCCTAAAAACGGCCAAAGATTCTGCAAAAAAACCGCTTTCCTTTTCTATTTCAACACGTATAGAATTCTGCTTTTGGTAACTTTCTGCTGCTGTGTCATAATGGTCATATTTAGTTCAAATTACCCCTAAACAGAGATTCTTATACCGATTTGCGCAGCTAAGGAATTTTTAATCTTCCTAAGATTGCACAAAGTTTTTTTTTATTGCTTAGATGGGTGGACAAGCTCACGGCCCACCTGGTGTTAAGTGGTTACCGGAGCCCATAGACATCTACAACGTAAATGCCGCCACCCACCCTGAGACATGAGTTCTAAGGTCTCAGTATAGTTCCAACGGCTGCCCCGCCCTTCAAATCGAAACGCATTACTGCTTCACGGCAGAAATAGGCAGGGTGGCGGTACCTACCAGTGCGGACTCATAAGAGGTCCTACCACCTGTAGTGCTTTAAATGTACACGGAATTGTTACCTCCGCTGGAGGTTTTCCTCCTACTGAAACACACTCCAAATCCAGCTCTCTGTCTTCTATAGCTGGAATGACGGGCCCCCGAAGTATCTTTGGAGGATCTGGTGGTACCAGCACCGTCAGTCGGGCGTACCTTGACCGAATTGCTGGCTCACCTGTTGACAATTATTTACATTCATTTATTGAAAACGAGCTGACCCGGCAGACTTCGTAGTGCTCAATCGATAATTAAAGACCTAAACTTTTGTATAAAATAAACTTAAAACAAACAAAAGGAATCCGTCCGACGGGGGACACATCAAAGGAAAAACAAAATTGTTATTTTTATCAAATTCCGAGCATTTTCATATTTATCTTTACCTTTTAAACCTTCTCTGGACTTCCACAAATAATTCAAGACCAAAATTAGCCAAATCGGTCCAGCCGTTCTCGAGTTTTAGCGAGACTAACGAACAGCAATTCATTTTTATATATATAGAATGATAGATAGATAATTGACGGTGATAAATTGTTTATGCTCAAATTACATGATACCAATGCCAAATAATTAAGTTGAAGGTATAAACTCCACCTCCATATACTACAGAAACTTATATGCAGTCAAAAGCAGTAAAATTCGGATAATATATTTTTTTATTGCTTAGATGGATGGACAAGCTCAGTACTCACCTGGTGTTAAATGGTTACTGGAGCCCATAGACATCTACACAGTAATTGCGCCACCCACCTTGAGATATAAGTTCAAAGATCTCAGTATAGTTACAACGGCTGCCCCACCCTTCAAACCGAAACGCATTACTGCTTCACGGCAGAAATAGGCCGGGTGGTGGTACCTACCCGTGCGGACTCACAAGAGGTCCTACCACCAGTAGTCTACCATTAAGTCCTACCATTACGTAGCTTAAATCTCTCACTCAGCCTTTACATCTAAAATAACAACCTAACGACTGAGAGTTGAAAATTATGACCCTGAGGAAGAAATAAGATATATCATAATTTCTAAATTTCTTCATTAAGTAAAGAGCATTACAGTTGAATTTCTACTTAATGTACACGCTATATAATTCGAACACACACAAAACAACTCTACCGTTTATTCATTGGACTTCTCTAGACAATAAAGTTACCCCTTGATACATTAGCATAGTTTCAACTTTATTGCCTTATTATAATCTAGTCACATTGTCCAACAAAATGGGTCTGACCCAATTTTCCACTCCCTAATATTAATTTCAACACATTCCCTGAAATAGGCGCGGACGTAGTCAGCTATGAAGTTTCCGTGTAGTTTTTTTACGCTAATTTACATTTCAAAGTATCAGAAAGATAGTCATTTTTATTTGACGATACCAAAGACCAGATTTTATGAAAGTAACATAATATTATTATATCTCTATTGCGGTACATTTCAGTAAGTTAAATAAATAGATACAGATACAGATCAAGCTAGGAAAAGTGTGTTAAAAACTAGTTCTAATACAAGCCCCTAAAGTTCCAATTCTATTGGGGCCCTGAAATCTATCTACATATATCATCCGGTCTTATTTGCATTTTTTTTTACCTCTTAATTCCTACCCAAATACTGCTTGGAAGTCACATCCAGCAAAAAAGGTAGAGAACCATACCAAGAAATTGAGGTTTCAATCGTGTCTCAAGGAGTTTCGGCGTTATCCCTATGGTCTTCAGTAAGCACCTTTAGTATAAAGAGATGGTTAAATATGTTCATTCGAGATTCGCATTACAAAATATGAACCTAATTCTTCTTCTTCTCAGTCGTTCACTCCTGGCGGAGTAGTCGTGGTTACGTAAGTCTTAATGTTTGGTTGCGGCTTTTGAGAGACTTCTCCATCTTTCTCTATTTGTGGCGGTACGTGTACACTCAGTAAGGGAACACTTCGTAGATAACTTAACCAAGTCTGTCCACCTTGTGGATGATCGGCCGCGAGAGCGTGAACCTAATTACAGCCCTGGAATAAACTAAGACTAACATAATTTAATTTCAACGTAAAATCCCCGAACTAAAAGGTTGTCTGTTTACGTTCAGATTAAATATAATTGTTATTAAAACGAATTAGGACAGAATCAAAATTTACTCCCAACTCGAAATATTCGCAAAACCAAGTCTGTTTTGATTACGAAATGTATTTTTAATTAATCACTATCAGAATTTAAGTCTGTATAAATTTATGCTGTTTCATTTTTTGCTTCCAAATTTATTCGTTATTAGGGCAATTAACTATTTATTAAGGCATCTTGTGAACACGCTCTGGTGATAACGAATACCTCGCCTATTTCTGCTGTGATGGAGCTAGGTTTGAAATGTGATACTTTACAATTGAGGCTTAGATCACATGTCTCTTGAGGGGTGGCGGCAGTCAAATAGCGACGTTTATGAGCTCCAGTAACCACTTAACACCAGATGGGCTGTCTTATACGATTTAAGCGACTACTTACCCATCTTGACGAATAATGGATGCAAAAATCTCATCATACCACCAAGGCTTTCTATATACTACCCAATGTTACATTTGCTATCAACAAAATTTACGAATTGAAATTAAAATGGAGATTATTTATTGCTTACATGAATGGATGAGTTCAAGAAACTACGGTGCTAATCGATAATCGGAGCCCATGGACCTCGGCCAATTTTACACGTGACATTGAAGTTTCAATTGCATTGTATATAGCTGGCTCACTATTCGAACCAGATCCGCTTTGTACCGAAAAAAATAGAATTGTGAGATCCACTTGTACCGGTCAGCAAAGTATCCGTGTGAAGTTGGATTATGTACGTAAAATGTAATATTATTTTTAAAGTTGAAAGAAAACAATTAGAAATAAAAAACCTTGCGATCACAGCCCTAGCGTCTCGTGTGTGAATTAGACATAGATAAAGCTATAACAAAGTTTTATCTGATTTATTCTGACAGTTCGCTTTAGTAGTTTCGCCATTTAAAAGCTAAAGTTGAACTTGTTTCTGGTGAAACTTATTCGGTTCATTACGACGTGGTTGAGATTTTAACCGATTTCAATGAAGTAGGTGCTGACATTTTCTTTGCTATTTTTCTGTTTGTTGTCGAAGAGTTTCGACATTGGTAAAGCTGTTTTCTTTTTCTTTTTAAAGAATACACTTTCAGATTGGTACAGTGGAACATTCATGAAAATCGGTGCAGTATTTTGGTTTTAGACCCGTCTTTTTGGCCTGCCTATAGTTAGTGACCTCGAGAGGTTATGCTAACTACAAGAAACGTGTAGACGAGCTGACGGGCTCAGCCTGGTAGATTTTGCAAAATTCTACCCTAGTAAGGGTAAATGTTGATGAAAATGGGGATTCGGGTTATGGCCTTAAACCAGCTAGGCCCTGTTCATCCAAGCAATCTTTTTCTAATAAATAATAATATTATAGTTAAAAAAAGGCCACTTTAAAATTTAATAGAACAGATCAACTAATCTAACTGCGATTCCGATCCGTTGGCAAATCCAGCGAAGCACCGCTCTAGTTAGTGTTAGAAAGTTCTCTCAGGTTGAGCCCCGTAAGCTCACCTATCCATCCTCTCGTAGTTGGAATAGCCCCTTAGGCTACCAACGATTAGGCAAGGAAAAATATAATATTATTATGACTACCGTGGTTCGCTAGTAAGAGACGAAACTTTGGATCGCAATGGATCGCTTTGGATACTGTTTTGGAGACGAGGTAATTAGTGAGACGCTTTGGCGTCCTACAGTGAAGTCAGTCTATTTAGCATATTGTGATAACATTCGAGAGGACTTCAGCTAAGCCATCGATCCAGTATATAGCGGGAGTGTGATAAAGAGAGAAAGAGGAGAATGATATTTTTTAAGGGATTTTTTGACCTGGTAACTAAGACCTTTAAGTCATGTCTTATGATTAATTCGCTTAATTTATATTCATATTTTTATGAAAAATTATATTACGGAGTGAAATGAAATAAAGATGATTAATTTGAGACATTAATCAACTGGGATGAAATTAAATGAAATGAGATGAGATGATATTGGGATGAAATATAATCTCAGTAAAATGGTGGTCATTTACTAAGATTTTTTCAGTGGACTTTTTGGAGGATCCCAAGAAGTTACGTCCAGCGGCTTTGTTTCATTTTCCCACATTTGTGTACTTTCACAGATATTAAACAGTTAATAAACCACCATTACTACACATTTAAACCCGAAGAAACACTAAATAGACAAAATAAAACAAATCACAACAACTTCACTCCTCGCGTTCCCGCCAAAAAGTCAGAGGAGAATGATAAAGAAAAACTTAATTCTACCCTCTCTTAAGATAAAAATAATTATGTAGTTGGAAAATAGAATTACATTAAAACATTTCCAAACATATCTAATTGAGAATTCGGGTACTCCGAACTTTATATGAAAGCTCGACCCGGTACCGTACCCCGAAAGCCCGGGGCTCTGTCAACACAAAACAAATTCGCACTGCCTTTTGAAGTCCAAAGGTCGCACTGCAAACACAATAGTTGTGTCAGTGAGACGAAATTGTCCGAGTTACGTTCCTATTTAGCTCACTATTCGTTTCTCTGTTTAAAGACTCAATGCCTGGGGTACAAGTGTCGCGCTTTTAGCGATTATGTAAATGGTAATTGTTCTTCTTCTTCTTCTTCTTTGTCGTTTCCGCATTACTGAGGGTTGTGACCACCTTGGTCCAGTTTTTGCACCAGCTTCCTCCAATGTTATCTGCATTCGGCCTGCTTAATGGCGCTGGTGTTTGTGGCCTCCTTGACAATGTCCGTCCACCTGGTTGACAATCTTCCTCGACTTAAAGATTTGAAAATGTTTTAACGACACCTTTCTGGTTTTTATGGCTACAAATGATCGCTAACGCCACGTAGGTCATGGTTATTCCCGGTTCTCTATATAAATAAACCGCTTCATCTTGAGGAATATTGGTTTGGTGCAGAAATTTATTGAATCAAGTGCGAGGACAGTAGGCCAACAAAATCGCAATGTTTTTGACAAATGAAACTATGACTCTAGCGTAGCCTTTGCCTATGACATTAACATTATCAAAAAGCTAACTGGGCGATCCTGTTGTAAACCTACTGGCCGTCTGGTCTAGTGGTAAATGACATGGCCACTACACCTTGTGCAGAGTTGCGGGTTTGAATCC